ACTACACCACACTGGCTCATTCATCTCACACACAGTGCCACAGTCGTTTAAAAACTCAGCACTCTCAAAACCTGATCTCTGACAGTTACAAGGACAGCACAGCTATCTGACAAAGAAAAAGACATGTTTTTACTCAACAAGTAAGGCTGTTTGCCTTTTCTGACTCCTTGACTCCCTAAGGAGGAGTACCAAAATGGGCCTTGTGGAAACTGGACAAGATGTTTGTTAGTGAGCAATACACAGTTCTGTGTATATAAACAACCAAAAGAAAGGATTTAGAGCCATGAGGCCAGTAGAGAAGAAAGCAGAAAGGAAAACAGATAACTACCTTTCTGGTTAAAATCCTATCACTCCTTTCTGAAGACATATATGAACCTTTCAGCAAGTACAGTTCTGAGCATTCCACTGTTAACACTTTATTAAAACAAAACAAAACAGCATGTTGTTGTCTACTGTGGCTCTAGAATATTTTCCTCTCTTCCTACTTTTCCCCATTTCCGGAGCTAACCAGCAGATCTGAACTTCAGATACTCAAAACTTGCCCTCTGCACCTCTAAATCAATTTTCAAACAATTCTCAGGGCGGTGGTGTGATTTCCTTAAGGAAAGAAAGTCTGAGGAGAAAAAGACAGGAATGAAAGAGCTAATCCACAATCCCTAAGCATAAGGTAGATGTTTCACAGCATATGGTAGGTAGCAAGACGGTAGTAAAATACTTCCTCCTCCACTATGGAGCATCTCATTCCCCTTCCCGTCTCCTGTTTAAATTCTAATTTGGAACCTGGCTTTTAACCCTGGGTTTGTCCCTGGGATCACACCCAGCTGTCAAGAAAACTGCATACAAAATTATTACTAATATGCATAGATTGCCCTGACCTGGATAGCCCAGGTTAGCCTGATCTCATCAGCTCTCGGAAGCTAAGCAGGAGATCAGCCTTGGCTAGTATTTGGATGGGAGACCACTAAGGAATACCATGGTAATGACATGGAGGCAGGCAATGGCAAACCACTTCTGAACGAGTCTTGCCCTGAAAACCCGATGGCATCGCCAGAAGACAGCTGAGACTTGATGGCACGTTCCACCACCATGCACAGATTATGCATACGATGCATTATTATGCACAGATGAACACTGATTTACTTTATTTGTAGTCTGTATTTCAAGGCGGAACAGGTTTTAATCCTGCTAGTTCTCATGACAACTGTATTTAGAGGGAAGGAGGGGGGATAAATTAGTCTGTCACTCACACTCATTTTGGGGACTTGGGGGGGGTGGCACTGGCTCAGTGGAAGAGCCTCTGCTTGGCATGCAGAAGGTCCCAGGTTTTGTCCCTGGGATCTCCAGTTAAAAGGACCAGATAGCAAGTGATGGGATAGACCTCAGCATGCAACCCTGGACAGTCGCTGTTACCCAGAGCAGATAATACTGACTTTGATGGACTGATGATCTGATTCCGTATATGGCAGCTTCATATGCTTGTCTCTGCTCTCAAATAGTTATCCATATGTGGAGAATAGAATGCTGGAAGCTGGGGAAGATGGAATATGCTGAGCCAGCCTACTTAATGAATTTATTATTTATAACAACTAATGAACAAATAAACCACAATGTTCTAAAGCGAGGCGCCCTACTTACGCCATCTTTACACAATGGCCACACCTTAGATAAGGCTCTCCCTTAGAAGGAAGCACTTCATTCTATGTGGGAGGAAAGGGAGATCCTAAAACTGATAGACAACTTAAAAACTGATAAATCACCAAGCCCAGATGGCATACATCCGAGAGTTCTGAAAGAACTCAAATGTGAACTTCTAGATCTCCTTACAAAAATATGTAATCTTTCCTTAAAATCTGCCTCCATTCCTGAGGACTAGAAGGTAGCTAATGTCACTTCCATCTTTAAAAAGGAGATCCGGGAAATTACAGACCAGTCAGTCTGACATCGATACCGGGTAAATTGGTGGAAACCATTATTAAGGAAAGAATTAGTAGGCACATAGATGAACAAAACCTATTGAGGCAGACTCAGCATGGGTTCTGTAAGGGAAGATCTTGTCTCACTAACCTGTTCGTGTTCTTTGAGGGGGTGAACAAACATGTTGACAAGAGGGATCCAATAGATATTGTTTACCTTGACTTCCAGAAAGCTTTTGATAAAGTTCCTCATCAAAGGCTCCTAAGTAAGCTCAAAAATCATGGGATAAAAGGACAAGTCCTTTTATGGATCAAAAACTGGCTAATTAATAGAAAACAGAGAGTGAGTATAAATGGGCAATTTTCTCAGTGGAGGGTGGTAAGCAGTGGGGTACCGCAGGGATCAGTACTTGGTCCACAGCTTTTTAACTTGTTCATTAATGATTTGGAGATGGGAGTAAGCAGTGAAGTGGCTAAATTTCCGGATGATACAAAGTTGTTCAGGGTGGTGAAATCCAGTGAGGATTGTGAGGCACTCCAAAGGGATCTGTCAAGGATGGGCAAGTGGGCGTCAACATGGCAAATGGGGTTCAATGTGGCCAAGTGCAAGGTGATGCACATTAGAGCC